TAAGCAAACATCATAAAGGACAAGACAAACTTTCTTGAATTCGGAACAGAATCGACAAAATATATGGTTGTAATTAGAACATTGTCCTTCTAGTAAGGATATTTTAGTTGTGGAAGTGGAATTTGGGTGTGAGTTGCTCTGACCTCAGCAAGTAGCCTTTGGCAGACTCTTTACTCAGAATAATCCAATTGTTGGGTTAACTCTTCACAGCCTGCACTGTTTACAACTTGCTTTGGGTGTAATCAGAATAATCCCACAAAGAGGATTACAAAATAAACCACCTGTGTCATGTACACATCCCAACTCCCCAAAAGGATTGTAAAATGCATGGACTGCAAATGTGGAAAAATTAAAATAAAATAGATGAACAGAAAGAGGAAACAATAGCCTAAATGAAATTGGTGATATCCTTGATTCAGAATACATGTTTGCAGAATCTTCTTTTATTTAATATATTATTTCAAAATGTAGAAATATTGAGAAACTGAAGATATCACTTTGGGGGGTTCTTCCTTTTTTTACAGACCCCTGTTCCAAGTAAAACCATTGCTTTGCTGAGAAGAAACATCCTATTTGTACCTGCTGAAGTTTAATTGATTAAGCCTGTGTATTTTCTTGGGTGTTGAAGTGGAATATGCATTATTGTATAGTGCCCCTGAAGGGTAACAGATGCTGCCACTGAGAGCAATGAATGTGCTTAAAATAAACATGAAGAGCATTGAACAGCAGTAAAGCATGTGATTCTTCCAATTGAGGAAAAGTAAATGAACTTTGTCCAGCACTGGGCTGGAAGACATGAGTACAATCTGTGAACATTAAGCATAAGTAGTGGCTGAAATATATGGTGAATGGAATTCATTTTTTCTATGTTACAAGAACCTGTTCTGGATAATGATATCACTCAGCTGATCTGAAACATTGATTATACACCTGAAATTTAATTGGTAGTACCATTATCCTTAAATTGCTTGGTTTATTTCCTTGTTAACCCAAAATATCACTGGAAAAGTGACAAATGTGATGATTTGGATTAGTGTGTGTGTTTAAGAAACAGAAATTTAGGGATAAACAAAGGATGTATATATTTTAGGAGGGTGAGAAGGAATACTGTAAAGCCCTGAAGGATAAGACAAGATCAAACTGTATGATTATCTTCTGATAAAATAAAGTGGTGACATATTTCATAATCCTAAATATGTTTCCTGCAAATCATGTGGGGATCAGATATGGGTGTAATTTTTTATGTGTTTTAAGCATCCCAACGGACCTGCTCACTCCCAAATTCAGTTGTGATACTGGATCACTCATTATTGTTACTGCCCTGTGAAAAATTTCCAGGTAAAATCCATATACATGCATGAATATGTGAGATTCTGTGAAATGCTTTGGTGTAGATTTAATTTTTTCTTTTTCTTAAATTCTTTTATTGGTACATTTTAGGTATACAGTACTTTACATTTATCATTGGGTGTTTGTCCCTGTACATGATGTATCTTGGTTCTTATTTTTTCCCCATTACCTGTGCACCCTTCACCCCTCCACCCTTCCCTAGTTACATACACTTCATTTCCATTTTTTTCTTTTCTCATAGTTTTTCTTTTCCATTCTTCCCTTTCTCCATCTTTTCCCACCACCCCTACCCCTTTGGACCTTTTCCTGTTTCAAAGTGTCAACAGAGACATGGCTGGGGGTATCACAATACCCAACTTGAAGCGATACCACAAAGCTACTGTGATAAATTTAATTTTAATATAATTTGTTTTTATTTTCATTGTTGATAGTGAGCAGTGACTTTCTTTTCCACATAGCACCTGAATAATCAATATGAAGATTAAAAATTGAAACCTCCAGATGTAATTAATTTATCCAAATGTAATTTCCATGAATACTAATTTAATTAATAAGATATAAACTCTAGTTAAAGGTCTAATTTTTTGCAGTGAATGCCTAATTTTAGCCAAATAATATTCTTTACCTAGGTGACCTGCATTTTGCTAACCAAACTCTTTCAAAGGAGTGGCAAAAGATGATAAATTTGGACAAAAATTTCTTTATATCATATATTATGAAGATTGCCATGATAATGTGTTACACTGTCCTTGATCTTGTGTTTTCTCTATGAAACATTATAATTGCTACCTGTTAACATTCTACAGAAACTCAACGTCAAAGGCAACCATAATTGATAAAAAACCAACAGTTTCCTGATTCAGTCTGGCAAAATTGTCACTGATTTGGCCTATGCTGCAGAGATTCGACCAGTGATTAAAGCTGCTGTTATTCACAATAAAAAATGATAAGATGCTCTTTCATATGTTCCCTAACCCTCTAATGGAGAGCAATGCCCATTCCCTTACAAACGTTCCTCCAATTCTGACAAGCGAAACATGTCAATAATTCCCCACACAGCCCAACAACATAAGCCATTATAGAGCCAGCCAATGAGCTCCTCAAATGCAATATATAAAACAAAAAAGGGGGAATATGGAGCCTGGTTTTCATTAAATATAATAAAACTTAATTTTTGTATTAATTTTATTGGTACATTTTAGGTATACAATATAGTGACATTCATCATTGGAAATTTGTACCTTCATGTAATGTATCTTGGTTCTTGTTTTTTCCCCATTCCCCTGCCCTCCCTTCAATCCCTCCATTCCTCCATATTTACAAAGACATTGCTTCCATTTTTTCCTTTTCTCATATTAATTCCATTCCCTTCTTTCCTCTCCCTTACCCCTCCCGCTTCCCCTTCCCCTTTGCCCCTTTTCTTCCTATTTCACATTGTCTATTTTACCTTTTCAACCTTATTTACACTTTTAGTTTCTCACACCAGAAAAACTATTCAGTACTTACATATGTGTCTCCTATTTATTTCACTTAAGAATATGGCCTCATTGTGCATCCATTTAGCTATAAATGTCTCTAGTTTCTCATTCTTTATGACTGAGTAGTACACCATTTTATTAAAAAAAACATACTTTTTTTATCAAGTCTCCAGTTGATGGGCACTTGGGCTGTTTCCAAGTTTTAGCTATGACAAACTGTGCTGGTATGAACATGGGTGCACATACTGTGGTATGATTCTTTTAATTCTTTATTTTAAAAGTTGTTATTCAGAAGCTTTCACCACAGTACAGAAAATCAACTTGCCACTTGGCCAAAGAGATGCTGCAAAGCATAAGGGTTCCCTTCACTTCTGAAGATCCGATTCTTAGAGATTGTGTAAGTCACTTGCAACTCCAAAATGACAAAGATGAAAAGGCTCCTTGTCTTTCTGAATTTGCTGCCATATATATGCCAAGTAAGGGACACGGCAACTCATGTTCTACCTCACCAGCCTTAGATACAGTTACATGGGAAAGTCCAAAATCATTTCTTTCCTCTCATGACAAACTCAAATACAGAAACAACTTAACTGATGCCCCCATGTCCCTTAAGAGATTGTGAGAGAGATTCCAACCACTCTGTCTATTCAAGTGGTTGTCACCTGTCACCCTTCAAATGCTATTTTCCGACCAAAATAAATTTCCATTATATGTAGTTCCAATATTTTCAATAGTACTTACTGTATTCCTTTCCAGCCCCAATCATATACAGATACTTTTAATATCTATCAATTAAACATTATCCATATTATGATACTTAGACTATGAGCCAAAGCATAGCTCTCCACCAATCTCAAGACAAAATGGATAAAATACTAAGTCACTGAACAAATTATTCCAGTGCTTAAGTTTATCAGACAAAAATCTTTTTTGGACATTCACTATGCGACAGCTACATCTACAGCAACGGTGCTCATCTAATCTCAGTCCACCGAAACTGTTCAAACTACAATAGATATTTCTAAAATATTCCCTGTGAAATGAAAAGTCAGACAAACATTGGTAAAAATAAATTCTTAGAGTAACTTGATGCCTTTAAGGCAAGACTTGGATAGCTCAAAAGCATCCACAAGCTCTTTGTTTATGCATGCAATTTAGTTGTGACATGGGATACTAGTCTATGCAGATCGCATCTATTCCACTTAACCATTTAGAGTGGTAAGAAGTCCAACTCCTTCTGTGTATGAAAGGAGGTGCCTTTCATACCAGTCTAGATGGGGGTAGTACTAATCTCCAGTACTGCCTGCAAACCCAACTTCATGAGTTACCAAGGAACACTCACAATATCACCATCATCATATTACTCACTGTCTGAACCCCCAAAATTGCATTTCTGGCCTCAAAGTTGATATTTAGATTCTTATTATTATTGGAATTATTTTCTGTTGATTTTTCTTACAGTCTTCAAGGCCCTTTGTATGTTGTCCTGGCAGATGCTCCCTCAAGAGGATATGATGCCCTTCCTGCATCAAATCCAATACCTGTGTCCACTATATTTCTCCCTTCCTCCCCATCACTCAAAACCAGGGGCAATGTGGGGCACCTGGCCAGCCGTGAATGGTTAAACTGTGAGGCTAAAGCACACAGGCTCTATGAGAAATGAAGGGATAAGCAAAAGGAAGTTTAGATTACTGAAGCAAGTTGTTTCTGGCTGTTGTCCTTCTCTTTTCCCCGAGAAAACCTGCTTAGCATTGAGACAGCTTCTAGCCCACACTGTTTTTCTTCTGCTTTGTTTTCTTTCATTTACACTAATATTCTAAATAAAAGCTGGAGAGTTCTCAGCTCCAAGGCTTCTCCTGGGAGCCTCTCTAATGCTAGGGACTCTCAGTTGAGACAGCCTCTCTGGGGCTTTCAGTGATTGAAATACATGTCCTCTCTGGTAATCATTCATCCTATAAGCCACCACAGTCACACGCTGGGACACTACTTCCTAAAACTCAATTCCATTGTGATATACTTCACAGTTTACTCTCTCTCCATGACACTTCCAGGGATTATACAATTACTCTAAGAAAATTATTTTCTGTTCAATCAAAGGCCCATGTTTTAAAACAGGAAAACTCAAGAAGAAATCTTTGTGCATGACAAATTGAATACTTTTCTTCAAACATATGTATTTTTATGATGTCAGTTTATTTAACCAAGCAAGATACTGAAAAATTAACCAGAGTCTAGATGCAGGTGGAAAGGTCAGCCTGGATACAGGTCCATGGCTTCACAGAAGAGAAGAAAATGCAACTGCAAAGAAAAGGATCTTGCATCTACATACTGGTGATTTGGACGCCTTGGAGAATTTGACATTTCAAACACTTCTCCCATTTCGTCACCTGTGAAAAAATAAAAGAAAAAAAAAGCATTGAAATGTAGCTGAACTGATAACAATGACTTTTTATTGAGTAGAAATGAAAGTAAAACTTATTGATGGGGAACTGAGTGGAGAGAATGTCATAGACAAGGCACTTCTTCGTACTGCAGCTGTGTATGGAATGTGTGGCTTCCATAGGGAACCCTGTCCTAGCAAAGCAATGATCGACGAGCTAACAGTGCCAGGAGTTATGTTGGCAGGTTTCCGGGTATATATCGATATTGACAAGCCATTGATAAATTATGTAAATTTATGTCACCTAAGACTTCTAGATTCACATCTAGAGTTATCAAAGATTTTGGCACTGCATGCTTCATTAATGAAACTGCAATTCACCACGGTTGATTGTATTTCCCAGTGCAGAAATGATAGTATTTGTTCACTGATGTTGTTCACTTTCACCTCGTAAGAAAAATTATTTTCCCTAGATCTGTAGACTTCTTTTCCACACTCACAAACACACATTAATAAAAGTTACAACTTCAAGGGGGACTATTTGCCTATTACACATGATAAATATTTTAAGAAAAATGTCCAAAGAGATTAACCTATCAGGTGTCATAAATATCACATTTCTACTCACCCAAGCAGTACCTTTAATTTGGGCAGGTGTCTATGTGAGAAAATGAAGAGAGAAAAGAAAAAAGACAAAATGCATTGAATTCATTAAGAATAGTTTAAAATTGATAATAACAGTTTAAATAGCATACAATATTTGGAATAGCAATTCTATGGGACAGATTGTACTGGTCATGCATTTTATTCCAGATATATTTTGCAACAGCAAAATTACGACTCTACCTGAATTGAGTATGTTTTTTATGTTTTCCCGGGGAATGCCATTTTCCTCAGTCAGCTGGGCAAACCTACGCTCTTGTTCTGGGGTGATAGAGTTTCTTTTCCCTGTATTTCAAGGAAGATAAAACAGAACAAATGTGAATGAGGGTTTCACCTGCTTTCTAAAGCATTCCCACACCCATGTGGGACTTGGGAATCCCACCCTCCCTACTCCCCAGCAGAGAAATCTGAAGTGAAATGGGCTGGAGGCAGGCAGTAAACTTTTCAGTTCTTAGGACTTCCAAGGTAATGGAGTTCATTTATTCTGGGCACATCCAGGTGCCCAAATCTTATGCATTCTTGAAAAATAAAACCATGCCCGTGACATAGAGATGGTTGTGTCTAAGAGTTGTGACTCTCCACACACTGAAGTCTCTCATTGTCCTCTTAGTTCTCCATCCCTTCCCTGATATTCTGGAACCTGAATCCAATGAGGTGGGAAAACCTTCTCACTTGCTCCCCCGTTTTTCAATCCCTCATAGCTTAGCACTGAGAAACTGAAAAACAAATATACAATGTCTCCTTCATATTTCTCCAACCAAGATTCACCCTCCTCTACTTCAAATATGGGTCTAAAACAAGGGAAGACCCAGTGCTTCTCCTGCTGCCTGTGTGACCTTTTCAGTGGTCAGAATTATTATAGTTCTGAGAAAATTGTTTGAGGAGCTCAATCTGATGGAGTTTCGTTTTTTGCTTCATTATTTTGTGAAAAGATAGAAAAAATTTATAAAAATAAGAGAATAACAAATTTTTACATACTTCGTATTGTTATCTTCAAAATAGTTATTCTACTTATGTCTGACCAAAGAAAACATTCTTACAAAGGAGAAATAGTCAAATATTACCACCCACTTTTCCTCTTAATGAAGTAAAAAACACTGTTAGTATAAAAGGAACGAAATAGCACATACATTGAAAAATTTCACCCATTTTCCTGGCGGGGGCGGGGAATGAGACTCAAGATAGAATATGTAAAGGTGCAAATTCCCAGAGATGAATGTCATTATATTGTATACATAAAATGTAGTGATAAAATTAATAATATTAAAAAAGTCAGGTTTACCAAAAAACATGTTTTGGAAAGAATGGAATAGAAAATTGTGGAAACCGTGTGAACCTCTCTCCCCTTCCTATGAATCTATCATCCAGAGTTATTTCTTTACAGAGAAATGTGTTAAAGTTTTGTCAAGGGAGAATCATTGTGATGAAGCAAAGATTTAAAGTACAGAAGAACACAGTCATATCCACTGGTAACTGAGTTTAAATTTCAGTCTTGCTTCTTTAGGTGACATAGACCAATTATATCAAGGTTCTTTGTTTGTAATAGTTCTCTGCACCTGCTCTGTGAGAAATAACCATATATATATAGTGTCCACCAAAGAATACATGCACACCTCAAGAAAATAAAAGTAGTATGATGTGTTTTCAACAGATGGAGTTACCCTCATGTGGGGGACCCTAGAGGATGTCGCAGAAAACCCAGTACATTCCCGGCCCTTAGAGAAGAAATTGAAAATGCACCTGCAGCAAACTCAGTGAGCAGGGGTCACCCAAGCAGCAGTTCGCTGTGCTAATCAATGCCTGGAAGCTCACAGCCACTGCTGTGAGGAGCTCTTGTCACTGTAGAGGCCAAATGTAACTTGTATGAACCTCATGGTCCCTTGATACATTTAGCAGTAAGATATTTATACAAGATTATTTTCCTGAAAAAAAATATATATGTAATTTTGTTGTTGTTGTTTGCTAAACTCTGTTAGGAAAGCCCTTTAATAGGACTCAAGATAAGTTTCTTATCTTTGCTTTCCTAGCCGCCTTCTCAGCCTCCTTGAATGCACTGAGGTGTAGATTGCAATCTGGAGTGTGAATGCGGTTCTATGCTAGGGTGCTCATCTAAATACTGCTTGGACTTGTTTCGCTCCAAAATTTAGAAGACAGATGACAGCAGCATGTACCTGTTCCACTCTATGGAGAAAAATTGAGTCATACTAACCAGCCATGAGAAGTACACGTGTCCTCCTGCCCCTCACATCCACATTGGTGCTAGAAAATACTATGTCTTCATCACCTTTATCAATAATTTCAAAAGAGTTTTGACCCGCATCTACAAGAGAAAGACAAACATTTCCAAATTCAGTATAGTTAATTTTTTCCAGTGTCACTTGACAGGAAGTATTTGTGGCATACACTATCAATGTTTCCTTCACCAATAATCTAGTTCACGAGCCTTCCTCCAACAGGGTAGACTCAAGTATGGCAGTGACTGAGGGAGAGACACATCTGACATCTTACTTGCTTAACGTGGTAGTGAATATTTCTAACCTACAAAATTCATAAGTAACTGCAGATCACATGGTTATTCATGATGGAAAAGTTCTCAGGGGAAGATCTGTTGGTACGTGGTAGGTGAAGAACTCTAACCCCTCCTCACCTGTTCATCAATTCAGTTATTAAAGCATCAGCAGTTTGTCACTGAGTCCTCAAGCTCACCCAATATGTTACTATAATTCCATAAATATAAGTTAAAATATATTTTCCTTAGAGATAACCCATAATTAAAACTTATCACTTTCTTTTGTAGTAGATAATAAAAAGGGGCGCTAAAACTTCTCAGAAAATGCTATACTGATGGGTGGGAATGTTGTAGTTTACTTCAGTCTTGCTGCATTGTATTCATATTTATACAAATAAGAAATCTTCATAAACTGAGATCAGAAAACTACAGTGTACATTCCTTCTCATACAAAGAAGTATTCAGCGTCTGTCTATTTAACACTATAGCATTGCTTGTTGACAATTATTTTAAAGATAGGCACAGAGAATAGCATTATTGCTCTGGTTAGTTTTACCTAATGTTCAAATTATGCACAAATCAATGTGCAGCTTTTACTATTACTTTAACTCTTAGCTTTTGGAACTAGTTTAATGAAACTGTACCACTTTAATTGTTTATAAGTTGGGCACCTTTTAATATGTAAATGACTATTCAATGACAGGAAATCATGGTCATATCTACCAAGTGAGAAAAAAAAGTGATGGAAAAAAATTAAATTTAAATAATCTTTAACTAGTTCTTTATGCCTGAAAACCATAGCACATAAAAGGAATGATATCAAAAACCTGGTGAAGGTTTGAATAATTTATTATTGTGAAACATGCATTGTCATGAATCCTCAAAATTCTTGCTCTCCTTTAAAGGCATTTATCCCATACTTCATTCCAATTTCTAAAGTAGCCCTAGAAGTTCTCTTTCCCCAGTGTCTCCACAAGGTGTTGTCCAAACTTTGATAAACGACACTGCCTAGAACTTGGAGATTTGTGTGTTTGAAGTGATGGGGATAATTTTGAGGGGGATTCACACCAATGAGTCCATTAGCAGAATAAAGGTTTGAAAACTTAACCCACACCACATGTTTTTATTGCCCCTTATGTGTATGCTGAGAATACCCCCAGCTGTCATTTATACTAGCACTCTGTGCTGGTTTTATGATGGCACAGGACTTGTCCTCACTGTATGACATGGAAGGGGCTTCAAAGTTTCAGTAGCTTTTCCAAGTTGCCTTAATAATTACCACCAGAGTTTTTGCTAGAATCTAGCCATGGGGGTATGCAGGACTGAGCTCTACGCATGAATTTGCACATGCACTAAACCTCATGTCACGCAGTCATCCTGCGAAAACAGGTACTCACAATCTGCGACGTAAGGTCCATTTGTGTTTCTTTTGATTCCCAGGGCTGAGACCTCACGGCACTCCCCGAACAACCTGAAATACAAACACCGCAGTGGGAATTCCTCACCTGCCCTTCCCCTATCCCTGAGGATCCATGGGGCTTACAATACAGTTGAGGTGCTGAAAACTAAAGGACATCAGAGTTATTTATAGTCTCCACGATACTGGATCTTCATGATTCCACTGCACCTTTGCTGAATTTTGTGAATTTTGTGAAGGTGTACAGAGAGCTGGGATGATCTTTTGAGGTCTGCCAGGCTGCCTCTGCAAGGCAAGTTTCCAGCCCGCAGCCCTGGGCCTACTTTGTTCCCTTAGCTCTCGCCCTCAACCTTGGCAGCCAGAAATGTCTGCAGATCTTCCATAGTGTTGGGGTTTGGAGACACACAAGCCTGCGTCCCAAGCGGGATTGTTGCTCTGTTGTTTCCACAACAACTCATTTCTCTCTCCTCAAATTCATTTCGCTGCCTTTTCTATCAGTGTTGCTGGTGACAGCGATGCTGAGGTCCTCGCTCTGAAACCCACCTTTCAAAGTCTGCTGATTCAGTGCACAATTAATCAACAATAAGTTTCTAATAGAAACAGCCCATAATAGTAAAAGAGACTCCGAGGCACAGGGACTTGGCCAATGCAAATAGATATAGGTAGACACAGATAAAGATCTAGAAATGGACTCACAACCATGTATTTATTCACAAATCATGTTCAGTTCTGAGGATGACAACTCCATCTCGGTATCTCCAACATAGTTCTCATTTGACTTGATTTTTATTTCTTTTCATCCTAGCCACTCAGCCACATGGGAAGAGTTTTGTTCTTTTAAATTAGGGTGAAATTTACTTACTTGATATAAAACCTGGCAGAGAGCTTCCGGCATCCCTGAAAACATTGAAAGTGACGGAGAAAGGCTTTCAAGTCACCCCCATCTTCGATTTTGTCCACATTGTCGGACGCCATGAAAAGTGTGCGCCATTCACCGTTGATCTGCAAACGAAACACCCCATTGGGAAGGCTAGTGGATTTTGATGTTGCTGTCATTGTTACTGTTCTCTCACAAACACCATGAAATCATGGAACTTTCTTCAACTCAGCCATAAAATAGAAATCTGATTCTACTCATCGAAGCTCAGTTTTGAGCTGCCACCGAGGGCAATCATATAGGATGCCATACTAAGGACTCAGATTCCCACAGAATGCATGGAATATAGGTTTCTAGAGTAGCAAATCTACGTAATAAAATACCACGGACACTTAAAACCTTCACGTTAGGTACAGTAAGTGTTATATATCGAGTCTAATCCAATGAAAAAGTGTAAAAATCTGAAAGACCAAAATATTGTGTGAGGATATACATAGAACAAAATGCTTATCAGATCTAACTCAGCAATGAAAATAAGGACAGAAGCACACACACACACACACACACACACACACACACTCATACTCATACGAGTCCCTCGCTCATGACCAGCTTATCCACATACCTGTTCTGGTAGGATGGGGAGATGTGCACAAGCAAGACCCACTGCAAGAGCGAACAGGAAGATGTACATATTCTTGGAGTTTCCTTTCCTCTTCAGAAGCTCGGTGTAGGAGAGATGCTGCGGGCATCTGAGCTGATGCTTCTTTTATAGTAGTGTTTTATTAGCATGATATGTAATGAATGATCACTGACTCTATGACCTAAGCCTCAAAGTTTTCTTATTGGCATCCAGGACTTCTGAGTCATTCTGTTAACTCCCTAATAAGATTATTTTCATCAGGGGAAACTTGGCCTGCATCATTGAGGTTTCACAAGAAAGAGCAAAATATGCAAGAAGTATTTTGAAGGCACTTGTATTATTTTCTCTTACATCTCAGCTACTGACACAGAAGACAGAACTGAAAATATCTACCCAAGAGTTCTATGTCACTACTTTAGCCTCCAAGGTGTAATGCTCAAAGTTACTTTCTAAAACTAGTGTTGGTATCCTTTGGTTAGGTCGGATTAAACTAGACCATAAACACTTAGAATTGGCCATGTCTTTCGGAAGAGTTTCTCTTTGTATTGAGGAAAACATTTGAAGGTAGATCGGATGGCACAGTCTTGTAATTCCAGCACTCTGGGAGGCTGAGGGAGGAGGAATGCAGCTTCAAGGGAGGCTGAGGCAGGAGGAGCACAGATTCAAGACTAGCCTGGGCAATTTACTGACCTAATGAGACCCACACTCACAAAATAAAAATAATAAAAGGTGCTGGTGGGCTGGGGTTTTAGCTCAGTGGTTTCGCCGCCTGTCTCGCAAGCCCAAGGACCCGAGTTTGATTCCTGGTACCAAAGAAAAAAGGAGCTGGTATTGGCCTCATTGTTAAAATCCTGAGCTAATTTCCCAGCACTTGTAAAATAAATGAAATGTTCGATGAATTACAATAATAAAAAAAGAAAAAATATTCAAAAGCACCAATGTTTCTTCTCGTACCTGGTTATGAACCTCTCTCTCCAGGCATTGAGATACAATCTTTGTCATGCTTTTCACTTCATGTTTGCACAAGCACTGTCAGGCTAGATTAGAAAACCATGACAACCATTCTCACAGGAAGTCAGGCGATGTGCTCTTTGGCCTACACCAGCTAAACATGAAGATCAACTTAATGGTAAAAAATAAATAAATATGACAAACAGGGGAGAGAATACTAATCCTGTTAATCAAAGCAAAGGAACTTTATTTTCCCTCTACAGAGGAGATAAACTCTGTCATAAAACTCCATATCTGAACTGAATGATAAATTTTAAAGAACTTAATGGGGATATAAATGACACAGGGTGATTGTGGCCATTCTGCAAGTGAAAAGTTGATGCTTCTCCAATGATGTAGGAAGTGTGATCAAACAACTCAGTGAGTGTTTCAATCAAACGTATCTATATGTCTATATAGATATATAGATATATCTTCATACTTTTTGAAACATTTCAGGAAGGGATCTTTCCAAAGTGTATTTACAAGGTAAGATTAGAAAAATGTAGTGACTGCTGCTCCCAAGTGCCATCCAATGGAAAGGCTCCTAAAAGCACGACACCGTGTCCTCAACCACCTTATTCACTGCACTTGGCACTGTGGAAGTTCTGGCTCTTCTGAAAAGTCAAAATGACCGTGAATGGTCAAGGTTTTGAATTGTCTCAGACTTCAAGGCAGCCACAATAGTGTACATTTAGAAAAACGATCATCAGTACACAGTTGCATGAACATTAATTTTTTCAAGCAAAGCTATTCTGTAGCAAATAAGAATAAAGCATGCCAATGGTACTGTGTAAGGATATCACAGTACTCAGTGGATCAACCAGTCAGAAAATTACAGATACAGAAATCAGTAATCACAATTGGTAAATAAAATCAATAGAATTAGTGAGAATGCCAGCAGTTCCATAGTTTCATAAAACACAAAAGTGAATTTCTTCCAAGAAATAAATAGTTCTGGAAACATTAGCCAGGACAATTAGACAAGAGAAAGAAATAAAAAGGATAAAGATAGTGACAGGTCTCCCCCTGGCTCAGCAGCTATTATGTATCGTAGCTGCCCTCTTCCTATGGTGCCTTGCCCCCTCCCCTGTGTGACGTCACGCCAAGATGGCTGCTCCCACCAAAGAAAAAACCTTTCTTCCCAGCATGCCCCTGGTCCCACCTAGAGAGTAACCCAATACTGGCTCAACTACCACCTAGTGACGTCACCAGCTCCTCCATTCCCTAGCCACTACCTCACTCAACCCCACCTCAGCTCTTACAAAGCCCACCCCAGTCTCTATAAAAGACTCTCCCTGCTCCGGCCATATTGCCTTTGTCTCTCCTTTGTTCAGAGACAGCCGGGCAGATCTATTCCCCTAATAAAGGCTTGTTGTGGCCTGGTCTGGTCTTGCTCTTGGTCTTCGGCCTTTTACCAGGCAGATAGGAGAGGAAAAAGTTAATCTATTATTATTTCCAGCTAACATGACACTCTACATGGAAGACCTCAGGAACTCAAGCAATATTTAATAAACAAATAAATCGATATTTAATAAACAAGTTCAAAGCATAACAGGAAACAAAAACAGTATTTAAAAATCAACAGCCTTCATGTACACAAATATGAAACTCAATGAGAGAGAAATTAGGAAAATGATACCTTTCACAATAGCATAACAAGTGAAATAAGTGGGAATCAATCTAACAAAGGAAACAAATGACCTTTGCATTGAAAACTATGGAACTCTGAAAAAAGAGATCAAAGAGTAAATCAGAAAATGGAAAGATATCCCTTGTTCTTGGGTAGGCAGAACCAAAACAGTGAAAATGGTTGTTCTTCCAACATTATTATACAGATTTAATGCAATCCCAATCAAAATAGTAATAGCATACCTCACAGGAGTAGAGAAAACAATCCTAATTATTTGTAACCAGATGAGTCTTAAAATAGCAAAAACAAAGGAATGAACAACAAAGGGAAGAAAGAAGGCATCACAATCCCTCATCTGAAATTATACTACAAAGCTACTGAGATTAAAATAGCATGGTGATGCCAAAAAACAAACAAAAAAAGACCTGAAGACCAGTGGAACAGATTAGAAGATGCAGAAACAGCTCCAAATTCACTCAGCCACCTTCTCTTCCATAAAGGGACCAAACACTTTTTCTAGAAGAAACTCAGCCTCTTTATCAATGGTGCTGGCAAAACTGGCTCTCCACATGCCCAGGATTAAACTTAGATGCATAATCTCTCACCACACACTAAACTAAAATCAAAATGGATCAAAGGTCTAAATATTAAAACAGAAGCACTACATCTGCTGGAATATAGAATAGGTAAAATTCCTGAAGACATTGGTGAAGACATCAAACTCTATGAAAGAAACCCCAATCACACAGGAAATATTAAAAGAACCAACATTTGGAGTTTCATCATATTACAAAACTTTTGCAAGACAAAAGAAACCACCAACAGAGTAAAAACATATTTGATCTTTTTTTCTACAGGTTCCATAATTTCAGGCTGAAGTTTTGGACACATTTGAGCTTGTTTCATTATTGGACGAGAGATGGAGATCTAGTTTAAATCTTCTACATACAGTAATCCAGTTTTCACAGCACCATCTATTGAAGAAAAATGATTTCTCTTATGTTCATTTTTATCACATTTGTCAAGATTCAAAAGCTGTATCTGTTACAGATTGTTTTGGTGTATCCTATTCACTAATATGGGTCTAGTCATCAGGTTTTATGCTTGTACTAGTTGTATCTTTTTAAATTCGGTTTTGTCATATATTTTCAAACCAGGATAACTCCAGCACTGTTCTTCATGTTCAGAATAGCTTGGCCACTCTGGATCTTTTGTGTTTCATAAGAATTTCAGTTTTCTCTTTTTTCTGCTTCTTCACAGAATCTTGTTGTTTGGCCTTTTGATGGGGATTTCATTGACTGTGTAGACCACTATCACGAACCAGGCCTAGTGAACGACAATTTTGTGTCATTCTGTGAACACATAACTTCTTTTCAACTTCTTGTGTTCAATTTCCTCAAAGTCCCATAATTTTTATTGTAGACAACCTTCGCCTCTCTGCTCAAGTTCATTATTAGATATCTCATTTATATGTAAGCTACTGTGAATTGAATTATTCTCCTGATCTTTCTCCACTGCTTTTAACTGGTAAGCCAATCAGTAATTAATCATTTGTATAGTGATAGTCTTTCCCACTGCTTCACTGAGTTAGTCTATCAGATATTAGTAATTTTTTTGGTGGGTTATTTAGGCCTTTCTAAATATCGTGTGCTCTACCAGAAGACTTTGACTTCTTGCTTTTCCTTTTGTTACTTTTTCCTTTTCTTGCCTAAGGGCTTCTGTTAAAATTTCAAGTATTAGATTGAATAGGAAAGGAATGTTCTTCCTCATTTCTGAGTTTAGCAGAACTCCTTTTAGTTTTTCCCCATTCGGTGTGATCCTGGCTGAGGGTGTATCATAAGTACTTTTTCCTAGGTTGAGCTAAGATCCTTCCATACCTTGTTTCTTCAGGGATTTCATCAAAAAGCAATGATGCCCCCTTTTAAAGGGATTTTTGCTTTTAGCAAACTTATCATGTAGTTTGTCTTTTTGACTGTATTTATGCAGTGCATAAAGATTTCTGATTTGGATATATTGGATCATTCTTGCAACCTGGATTGACCCTAACATCACCATGGCCATGACACATTTAATACATTGGTGACTTTTGTTTATACCAATTTTATGGAAGATTTTTGTATCTATATTCATCTAGGTTATATAGTCTCTTTATTGCTGAGTATCTTGAGTGATATAGACATCATAAAAATGAAAGAGATACTTCCAATTCTATTACTCTGAGTATTTTAAGGTGTTTTGGGGTGAGTTGATCTTTAAAGTTCTGGTAAAGTTGAGCAATGAACTTTGGTCTGGGATTTTTAACGTACAGAGATTTTAAATTCAACTTGAATTTCCCTCTTTATTATTCACCCATTTTAGTCTGTCTATGATGTTCTTTCACCACAGGCCTTAAAAACATTGCATTCAGCTTACCAGGAGCTGAACCTATTAAAAACATGAGCCCATGATGCACTCTTTCTCCTTTACATGTATTTTCTCAGGTACTCTGTTATGATTAGCTAACAGAAGCAAG